GATCTGTCGAAGAGAGTCCAGCCACAATACTGTCTGTGCCAAGGGCACTGGTGACCGGGCTGAAGGATAATAGTGAGGTGCATGCTGGCACCCTTGCTGGCAGTGGTGCTTATTGTGGGTTGAACGGTGGCTCCAAAGATGTGTGGAGGTCCTAACCCCGGTACCTGTGAATGTGACCTTATGTGGAAATAGGATCTTTGCAATTGTGACTGAGATATAACATGACGAGGTGATGCTGGAGAGGGGTCCTTACTCCAGTGTGACTGGTGTCCTTGTAAGAAGAGAGGAGACACAGACACTTGGGGGAGAACATCATGTGAAAATGGAGGTGGTTTCAGGGCACCTGGGTGGCTCGGTCGGTTAAGCGTCCGACTTCGGCTCAGGTCATGATCTCGAGGTCCGTGAGTTCGAGCCCCGCGTCAGGCTCTGTGCTGACAGCTCGGAGCCTGGAGCCTGCTTCGGATTCTGTGTCTCCCTCTCTCTCTGCCCCTCCCCTGCTCTCTCTCTCTCTCAAATAAATAAACATTTTTAAAAAATTTAAAAAAATAAACGTTTTTTAAAAAGAATAACATGGAGGTGGTTTGGAATGATGCGTCTAGAAGCCAAGGGATGCCAATGATTGCCAGCGAGAAGCAGAAGCTATGAGAGAGGCGTAGGAATGACCCAAATACCAGCTTCCGCACAGCCCGTGCCCCTGAGACCCACCAACATTACAGATAGTCTGCTCATTTTGCTTTTATCTGGTCTTTTCTTCACACCCCCTTGCTCTATGATCCGGGTACAAACCCACAGGGGCTGGGCCAGGGTGACACCTGAGTGGTGACCTGTGGAACCCAGAACACCTTACCCCCTGAGCTTTCCGGTCATTCCAGAGCCAACATGGGATTCTGTGTTCTCTTGAGATAAGCCCTTGCCCCTCAGCAGCCTCAGCTGTGTTCCAGGGTTAATATGGAAAATTACGAGTTGGACTGGGCTTTTCACATTGCATGTTACTAATTAGAAATGAATTTCTCCTCTGAGTAAGCATATACCCAGAGCAGCTATTACCCCACACTGAAAGCTGGTGCTCAGGCCAGATCAGCAATGAAAATATGCATAAGAGTACCTAAGAACCTCGGTCCAGCTCAGGCTTACTGTGCTTAGAGCTCTCTAGTCCTTCTCTGCCAGCCGTCACCTAGAGCCTTGTGTTCCACGGAAAGGAGGGCACAGAAAAATGCCAGTAGCATGGGCCCCTGGGCCCAGCTCCCTGCCAAGGGGCGTTCACATATTTCTCCCCTGGCCACTGGGCGCTTCACCTGTGGTCTCTCTCAGCTTGTGGTTGCCCAAGGCATCCCTTGGAGGGCGAGGACAGGCCGTGGTTACATGGACAGAGTCAACTGCTGGATGAGGGTCAAAGTTGGCAAAGCTGGGGCTCTTCTGGATGGTCCTCTTAACAAAGATATCTGAGGGTCTTCACTCAGCTCGCCTTAGAGGATAGTTATGGTGGGGTGGGGTTGGGGGCAGAGATGGACAGGAAGGGGAAGCCAGCGTTGCCAATTGGGCTGGGTCCAGAGCAGGCTGAGTGGTCTGGAGACAGGAAGTGTTGGTTGCAGTTCAAGCATCATTTCTAAATGACATTGATTAAGCATTATTGCTTTAAAGACCTTAGGCAAATGTAAGGTAAAGCCAGTGGCCTCCTTATTGGGAATGCTGTGACAAGGGGAGGTCCACGGCGGCTGCTGCACCATGGCCTTTTCCGCAGAATGTTCTGGGTGATGCCCGTCAGAAAATTCCACCCAATAAGTTTAGGACAATGGCTGGAGCTAGGCTGGTCAGAAGACACCCTGAAGAGGAATTTGATGATGATCATGATGGTAAGCTTTCAAATGATTTCTCCTGTGTTTCTCTTATCTTGTCTCTTGTTTTGATTGTCTTCCTCCAAAGACGCTCTCTACCCAGAGAGAAAAGCCATGACTGAATAACAAACACTCCCTTGTGCCAAAACAGAAAAGCATGCACATGTCTCCAGCAAAGGCAGCTTGCTGTTTACGTTTGTGAAGTATCCTATCATTCTGGAACAGCTTTTTTCCTTTCTTCTTTTTTTTAATTAAAACAATTTTTAAATGTTTATTTATTTTTGAGAAAGAGAGAGACAGAGTGCAAGTCGGGGAGGGGCAGAGAGAGAGGGAGACCCAGAATCTGAAGCAGGATCCACGATCTGAGCTGTCAGCACAGAGCCCCATACAGGGGCTCTAAACTCATGGACCATGAGATCGTGACCTGAGCTCGTGTCAGAAGCTTAACTGACTAAGCCACAGAGTCACCCTCTAAAATGTTTTTTAAAGTTTATTTACTTATCCTGAGACAGAGATAGCACGAGCCGGGGAGGGGCAGAGAGCGCGGGAGACGGAGAATCCCAAGCAGGCTCTGAGCCATCAGCACAGAGCCCAGCGCGGGGCTCGAGCTCACGAGCCACGGGATCATGACCCGAGCCGGAGTCGGACGCTTAACCGACTGAGCCACCCAGGCGCCCCCGGAACAGCTTTTTTTCTGAAACATTTCTCCTCAGCTTCTTTCTCCTTGAATTTTCTGTTTGCTCTTTCAAGTGGCAGCGTGGGGGTGGGGACAATGGTGGAGTTGGGGAGAAGCAATGAAAGAGGAAAACATAACCCCCTACAGGGATGCTTCTGGTAAACTTATCTTCACTGTCATGATCTGTCTTTCAGGGACTAAAGTCACCAGTTTGTGCAGATGCAGATTTTGCTTCCCCCACTCTTGACTGTGAAGAGCGATTTAAGGTTGCGTAAACCCCTGCCATGGTTCATAACCATGACCTTTGGCTGCCTGACCTCCAGCAGGCTGCCTGGAACTCTTAACCATCCACCTCCCTTGCTGGCTCTTGGGCCCCGGGAAGGGGTGCTCTCCCCGAGTGTCTGGTTCTTCTGGTAAGGTCCTTGCAGGCTGGCCACGCTCTCCTTTTTGACAGTCCCTGTAACAAGGACCTTAGGTTAGAGGACATTTGAAGACCCCCATGCACATCTTGACTTCTAAAGCTCCCTTTGCTGGAGGCCTTTGGATGGTTCTGAGTGTGGTGCCTTCTTCTGCCTCTGGGCCAAGGACTGAAGACTGCTTTGTCCCTTTGTTTTTGTTGGAGTCTCTGTGTCTCAAAGGGAATGATACACATCCCAGAGTCCTGGCCACATTTTTCCAGGGGGACCCAAGGATTGTCACGCTAATGAAACTCAGATTGGAGTCCTGGGAGATCAGAGCTCTGCAGTAGATAAGCAGTCCACTTTCTCCCAGCGCCAGGCTTGGGGAGAGAGCAGGGGAGAGTGTGTATAGAGTGCTTCACTTTTCCCAGATTCCTGCCATGAACGCTTGTGGACGGACAGGTACATCGTCGTAACCCATCAGTCAGAGCGATTTCGGGATGCGTATAAGAGAACTGAGAAAGGTTTTCAACCGCCTTCCAAAGGCTGGTGGAGAAATAACACTTGCGTTTCGCTTTACAGACTTCATAGCTCTTCCCTCCCTGCGGTGATGTGAAACCTGATTCCTCATGGCAAGTGGGCAGTTAGAACCGGCAAAAGACCTGGGTCTTAATGTTACACCCTGTCCAGGAGAGACGTGTGCCAAGAATTGCAGAGACCCGGTTGGATTCAAACGCGAGAATGAAAACCTCTCCTGAATCCAAACTCCCTGCTCTTTAAATTTTACGAAACAGCGTTCTTGATCGAAATCAGTAGAAAAGGGCAAGGGTGCAACGAACAACCCCAAGGCCTAAATTCAAACCAACTGTGTTCCGTGCTACAGGAGCTGCAATGGCCAACACGTCAGTAGTAAAACTGCGGCTCCAACCCATAGAGAATGGAGTTTCGGGGTAAAATGCAAAGCTCATAAAAAAGGATGCTTGAGGGGCGCCTGGGTGGCGCAGTCGGTTAAGCGTCCGACTTCAGCCAGGTCACGATCTCGCGGTCCGGGAGTTCGAGCCCCACGTCAGGCTCTGGGCTGATGGCTCAGAGCCTGGAGCCTGTTTCCGATTCTGTGTCTCCCTCTCCCTCTGCCCCTCCCCCGCTCATGCTCTGTCTCTCTCTGTCCCAAAAATAACTAAACGTTGAAAAAAATAATTTAAAAAAAAAGGATGCTCGAGGGGCACCTGGATGGCTCAGTCGGACTCTTGATTTCGGCTCAGGTCGTGATCCCGGGGTTGTGGGACAGAGCCCCAAGCTGGCCTCCGCGCTGGGTGTGGAGCCTTGCTGGGGATTCTCTCTCTTTCTCCTTCTCCCTGTGTTCCTCCCCTGCTCAGCCAGTGTGAGGGCTCTCCTCCCCCCACCCCACCTGTCTGTCTCTAACAGCAACAACAAGAAAAAACAACAAAAGTGAATCTCGAGATGACTCGGGGAAACATGGCTATTCACATTGATGTAAACATTGCATATTCCTAAATAATATTTATGAATAAAATAAATGGTATATAAGTATTGTTACATATTTATCACGTTCTTAAATAATATTAAATGTATATGTTATGTGTGTGTGTGTACATGCTTCTCCATATTTCTTTTTTTATTGCTAATAACCCCCCAGTCAGGATCACGGAATTAGGTGGGAAGGTTACAATATTAGCAGTCACCTTCCAAGTCAGACTGAAGAAAATATCCCCGGATTGGGCGGTTCTCTGGGGCAAGGTTTTCCTCTCCCCAGATCATGTGGGTTGGAGCAGCCGCAGAGACTCTTGGGCCCTCAGGGATGCTGCCAGGCTCTTCCCCGTCCGGAAGGGGGAGAGGGCTGCAGGAAGGCCTGGGGGTGTTGAAGGGGACGGGGTGGGGGGACAGGAGTAAAGCTCGTGTCCCGCGGAATGAAAAAGAAGGCGGCAGGCCCTGGCCTCCGAGGACCACCTGTGGACCCGAGATTCTCAAATAGGGTGTCCCACTCTGCACTCATCCGCAGTGGCCCAGTGCGGGCCAGGCAGTGGCTCCCGTGGCCCGAGCCCCAGGAGCTGGGGTCTGAGATAAAAATCTATGGCTGTCCCTAAGGACCAGTCCACGTCCACCCTGCAGAACTGTTGCACCTGCAGATTTGTGCCGAGCCGAGCGGCGGGCGAGCCGCAGAGGCGAACAGACGCGCTGCCTGCCTGCTGCTGCCTGGGGCCCAAACGGTAGGGCCAGACACGACAGGCTGGGGGCAAGACACACACACGCGCGCGCACACACACACACACACG